GGCGCAGCCCTGGCCGCTGGGCGCACCCGTCCCGTGCGTCCCCGGACGTGGCTCTCAGCCCCGGGAACGTCGAGACTGGAGCGCCGGAGCCGAGCCGCCCTCGGCGACCCCGAGCGCGGCGCCCCGACTTCCCGCAGCTTCGCCGGGACGCGCCCGAACGCACTTTCGACTGGGAATTAGGGCCGAGGATTTGAGGGCTGGGGGCCGAGGAAGTTCTCAACTCTACGCGTCTCCAGCTGACCCTGCGGTCGTAGGGGAGACCGCCTGGTCCCTGGCTGCGCGGGGCGCAGCGCTCGCGACTCGGAGCTCAGGCGTAGCCGGGCCAGGAGACGCCTGGACCTGGGATCCCCGCGAGCCTGGGGACGTGCCCCGCTACTCTTCGGTTTAGGTGGCCTTCAGGTCAGCCCTGGGTCCCGTGTGACTATCTGCCCACGTCTACAGACCCCGCCACCCCGGGCGCCCTCGGGTCGCAAGGGCTTTTCCAGGACGAGACCCGACTGGAGACTGCCGCCGCCGCCAGTGTCCCGTGCGCCACACGCCAGGGCACTCAGCGGCTTAACTTCTGTCCCGGACAGAGGCCACGCCCGGGAGCTGGCCGGCCGGGCCGGGTGGAGAGCGCAGTTGCAGGGGTGGCGGGAGAGTGAGTCCAGAGAAGCCAGCCCCAGGGGCCGCGGTTCCCACCCGGGACCCAAAAGGCTGGACCAGCAGGCGTACGCTAGACGACCCGCCTAGGGCCAGGGTCGCCCTCCAGTGTTCCCGACCCTGACTGTACCGGTTGTCTGGGACGCCCCCCTCTGGACCCGCAGTTCAGGCAGGTAAAATCAGGACTGAGCTGGGAGGGCGGAGAGCCCCTGGGCCCTTTTGCTGGTACTGGCGCTGCGGAATGCAGCGCCCTGACCATCCCACCCAGAGTGAAGTCCTTCTGACTTCTGCTCCACCTGGAGACTGCCCCAGAGCTGGCAGGGACCTTTTAGGCTGGGATTCTCCATGTGTGCGCGCGCGCGCGCGCACACACACACACACACACACACACACACACACTCACGGCCCTATACCTCCACAGGGCTTTTCTGACTAGCAGGTCACTTGCTTGCCTTGCTGCCCCACTGTCCATCCCCCTGGGGGTGGCCAGTAGAAGGAAGTGAGAGAAGAAATCTTTCACTTACTTAGTAAGCTTCCAAGAAGCTCTTTATGGGGGCCTGGGGCTGCCCCCCTCTCAGCCCAGGAGCAAGAGGGTTCCGGGAGGGAGGAGTCCCAACTTTCCTTGGAAAAACTTGCCAGGCCTGATTCTTTGATTTGTGAGAAATGTCAGCCAGGCCTCCTGCTCCCCTGCTCCTCCCTCCCAGCAGTTAGGGCAGCGTCTGGGGACACCCCCAACTGCCCTCAAACTCTGTATCAGGAAATGGGAAGGTCCTACTCTGGGGGACTTGCCCCTGGGATTGGGTAGGGGTGGGGTGGGGGTAGTTGTATGTGTAGGGGGTGGACCCCTCTGCAGGCTGGGCCCCACCCTGCAGCCCCTGGCCCACCCCCACGCCCCCAGGAGCACATGTCACTGGTGTCTTCAGGCATCTGGGGTGGCCTGCGGCTGTTCCCTGGCTGACGAGTTATACTCCACACTTCAGACTTCCAGAGCATCCCACCAGGAGTTCCTTGAGCAGATGAAGACAGAGGTCCAGGTGGGACTGCCTCTTGAAACACAGGCCTGTCTGGTAATCCCTATTTCAAGTGCTGTCCCCTGTTCTCCTGGGCAGGGTCCCCCCACTGCTCTTTCTCCTCCCCAGGGTTGCACCCAGCTCACCTCAGCCCTGGGGGCTTTCTCAGGCTGCCCTGTCCCAAGGATCAGGAGTGAGGGTCACTGGTCGAGGCCAAGGCCTCTTTGGGGGCATGCCAAGCCTTACCCAGCAGCCTGGGGTTCAGTGGACCCTGAGGCCTCTTCTTGGGCACCAGAGATGGTGTGGAGCTGCTCCCCGCCAGCCTGGTTGGGTTCTCTTCCTGCTGGCTAGCTCCAGCAGAGGGCGGCCAGGGAAAGCAAAGGAGGGACAGTGGCACTGGGGCCACTTGATGTCCAGAAGCAGCCTGGAGAGAGGCCAGGGGAGGAGCAAGTGGCCCGAGTCAGGCACAACCTGTAAGTGTTGACTTCAGTGAGTGGCCTTCCTGCTCCCAGAGTCCTTATGGGGCCATTTGGCCTTGGTAGGCCTTTGCCCGGCTCTTCATTTTCCCTGTGCTGGGCTTATGGACAGGCTTGGGGTGGGCACAGCCTCTGCCTCCCAATGCCCAGACAGGTCACCATGGAGGCTTCATTAGGGCTGGGGGTGGTGGTGGGCACACTACTGGGAGGGCCACCAGGGCATCAGGGAAGGTGGTCCCCAGGGCTGACCTGGGTAAGGTGTGTTGCTGCCTTCTGTTTAGGCCTCCTGACCACTGACCCTTATTTCCCTCCAGATCTGGCCTTTCAAGGCTTCGGGGAGCCCTCTGAGAAGGGGTTGCTCCTCCATCTGTTCTCCCTCCTGTAGGGGAAGCCCACTTTGCCACTCCCACCTGAAGAGCCTATGCACCACTCCCCTCAGCTAGGCCCACCCTCCCCCATGCCCAGATTGCCCCCCCC